TGCATGATGATTATTTGATGTTTTTAATTTTTTGCCTTCTTTGTATTAGTATATTTTATTTTATTATTTTGTAGAATGTACGCCATCGGCAGGCTTTTTTATCTATATTTATCTATGTTATTGATTGTATGTACAGCGCTGTGTAAATTTACAGCACTATATAAATAAACTATAATAATAATGTAATAATAATTAAAAAAATCAAGGTTCTGGTGATGACATTTAAACCCCTTAATGGCTTGGGATCTCAATACTTGAAGGAGCACCTCTCCATACATATTCCTGCCTGACTTTTCAGTCAGGTGTATCACATCAGGCAGAGCAATATGCTGTGGGAGGATGTGGGAGAGGGTCTTCCCTGCTTTGGCACCCCAGTTATAGAATTTCATCCCCATGGAGATGCAGTTAGCACCAATGTTGCTGCCATTGCAGGACCAAATGAAAACAAGGTTGTTCACTAAAGCCTTTGGGACCTAACTGGCTTTACACCAAACTTCCCAGCTATTTTAACTGGTTTTAATCTGTCTTTTTTTACCTTGTTAAAATGGTTAATTTTTAACTTTTTAAATAGCTTTGGCCTTTTAAAATCATTTTCATTGTTTACATTGTTTCACATTTCTCAGGTCAGTTTTATTGTATGCTGTCCTGAGATCTTTGGAAAGGAAGAGGCCTATAAACACTGAAATCAATCAATAAATAAGGGTAAAGGGATGAATTTTCCCAGGATTAGTGCATTGTTACTTCTGTTATAATCCAAAGTATTTTGGAGTGTCTGGGGCTAAATGGCCACACAGCCCGAAAAAAACCACAAAAAAAACTAAGGATGAGGGCTGTTTGGTAGATGCACCAAGCTTGTGGAACTCCATTCCACAAGAAGCTAAGCTGCCTTTTTATGTAGTGGTCTTCTACCAGGAGACTTTTTTTAAAAATTCCAGAAGGCTTGTAGTGATTGACTAGCTGTTGAAGAGAAAAGTTGTAGTAAATTTGGGTGTGTGTGTGTGGTGTGCATTTAAAAAAGCAAATATATATGTATATATATATATATATATATATATATATATATATATATATAAAACATCAGCCTATCAGCTCTTGTTGAGTGACTATGGGGACCATCTTCTTTTGTGACTTATTTGCATATAGCCATATGCCAGAAATACAGAATATAGATAAAAATACAAATTAGCATAACATATCATTTTAATGCTTCAAACAACAACCATACCTGGTTACATAGTTGTGATTTTTACTATATTAATTGGGATGCGGGAGCTGTTGAGTAAATGGAGTGAGTTTTGTTCTAAAGCACTTTTGACTATGGGGACTGTCATAATGAGCAGCTGCATTTCAAAACTGATCACTGTGTGCCACTGCAGGTATAACATGAGATTGCTTTTAATTCAACTATGCTTTAATAGCATGGTTTATTTAATTGTGTTGAAACATCATAAGTTTTTGTAGGTGTCTGGGGTTTTTTTCTGTTTTATCTATTTGTATTTGTATCTGTTAAATTTTTCAGTGAGTTGCCCAAGGGTAAAAAATAAACAAGAAAGCAAGCAAACAAATACCTATTAGCTTTAAAAAAGACCCTCTCCTGGTGGAGATTAAAATTGCTAGATTTGTTAAAATGGATCTATATGGATGCCTGCATTTTTCTAACCCTCTGCACATGCTTATTTTAACTGTCATGATGAATACCTACACTGTAAATCTGACCACTCTGCCTTTGTGTATATGACATGAGATCACATATTGCATGCCAAGACAAAGTAGCAGTAGTTGTCACCCCAAATTTTAAGATAGTGCTTTTGAATACTTGTCTTTTTATGTCACAGACTGCTTGATTTCAGCTTGCTTTTAACATTTTTGTTTTGACTACTAGGCCTCTTTGCCTTGCTCATTCCATTTAAAGCAAATCAGTATTAATACAACCAAACCTGATAATTTTTCATTGTCTTGAAAATACTGTTGGACAATGTTAGAGCTGAAAGGGAGGAATTATACTGTTTCTACAAGCTTTGAATTCAGGTCTTCCCATTCACATTGTACTTCAAAGCAAGAATATAGACCAGGGTTTAAATCGGTCACAGTATGATGAGAAATCCCACTGCATCCTTTGGTATTTATGCCCTTGTAAGTGTAGGATTTCAGCCTTACCAAAGCATGAAAAAGTTACTTATTATCCCAGAATCTTCTAGCCAGCATGATCCGTGATGTGCTGGCTGGAAAACTTTGAAAACTAATCCTAAAGGAAATAGTGCCTTCACCAATGCAACAGTGAAAGGGTTCCCCATTCCTGTATCTGAGCATTGCAACTGTCATATGTGTCCATATGTACTATTGCTTCCCCCCACCCTTTTGCTAGAGGAATTGTTCAGATGTGATTGGCAGTGTAGTTGTGTGATCATTTTGACATGAGCAGGTCACTATGCTTCCATTTCTTTTTCTGTTAATTCTGTTATCATGCTGATATACCTCTGCCTGAGTATTGTATAGTAATTAATTTGCACAAAATCTAAGCAGAGGTACCCATTTCACTGGATTATCCAGCCTTCCTCAATGTGGGTCCGTCTAGATGTTCTGAGTTACAGCTTTCATGGGCAATGGTCAGGAGTGATCCCAGTTGTCACCCAAAATATCTGGAGGGGACCATGTTAGGGAAGGATAGGCCACATTGAATTCATGTTGCTCCTCGCTTTGGTGCTGAATGGGTTGATGAATGTTATTGGACTGCAACTCCCATCAGCAGAGAGATTTGGTGCTCTCCATATCAATGAGGTAGTAAATTTGCTTTAGGCTTTAGTCCAGACTTTGAAGAGGTTATCCATGGTGCTGAATCTGGTTTTTGGGTAGGGTTCAATACCTTGGGAAGTTTATTTAAAATACAGTACTTGGACCAAATTTATCATGCCATGGATAGGAAATGTGCCAGTCCTCACTGAGCCTAAGTGATTATAACCACTAGTGAATAACATCTGGAGAACCACACATTCCCCACCTCTACTTTGGGATGACCTGATGCCCACATGGTTAGGGTTGTTCTGTGCTGTTTCTGACTTATGGCAACACTAAGGCAAACCTATCATAGGGTTTTCCTGGCATATTTTTTCACAGGGTGGTTGCCATTGCCATCATCTGAGGCTGAGAGTGTGTGACTTGCCCAAGGTCACCCAGTAGATTTACATGGCTGAGCCTGGATTCAGAGCCTGGTTTTCTGAATAATATTCCAGCACTCAAACCACTACCCAGGGGTAGGCAAAGTTTCCCCTTTAAGGGCCGAGGGACTTCAGCTCCCAGAATCTCAGGAGCTGTTGGCCAACATGGGACTATTGGCCAACATGGCTGAGGCTTCTGGGAGCTGAAGTCCCTCAGCCCTTAAATGGGAAAGTTTGCCTGCCCCTGCACTACACCATGCTGGCTCTACCTAATTTAAATAGTAGCCAGCATGGCATAGTGGTTTGAGTGTTGGATGGTGAGTCTAGAGACCAGGGTTCAATTCCCAGCTCAGGCATGAAACCTACTAGGTGATCTTGGGCAAGTCACATTCTCTCAGCCTCTGGAGAAAGGCAATGGCAAACCCCCTCTGAACAAATCTTGCCCCAAAAAACCATGATAGGTTCACCTTAGGGTCTGTTAGGGTTGCAAAAATGGATTGTCACAATAGTGTAATGCAATCCTGCATACCCTGACAGGGTCGTCATAAGTCGGAAATGACTTGTAGGCACACAGCAACAACAACAAGCAACTTTGTCATGGAATTCTTTTTTAAAAGCTGAGCCTGCAAGGGATGGGGGGAAATGCACAACCCTTCCTTTTTCTGCTATTAGAGGCATTGATCCCTATCCTAATTTTGCCCTCTTTCTGGTTGCTTGATTTGTTTATTGTGAAGAAGTTTGCATAGACTTGATAGCAGCACCTTGATTCTGATGTGTTGTCAGAACTGCCAGGCAACAAAGGCTGAATTCCTCTCATCTCCATCTCAGATTTGTTTATTAAAAAGCAGTAACACACAAACACAGGAAATGTTTGTGTGCTGCTGCTGCTGCTGCTGCTGCTGCTGCTTTTGAACAACTACAACATACCCACTGTAATTTGATGTTCTGGCTGCACCCATGTGCCTGGACTATAATTGCTTAGTACACACACTCATAATAATTCATTCATGGCTGCACAAAAGAAACAAATACATATCCAGTTGCCCAGTACTTACAAAAAATCCAAAAGGGCAAATGAAAAGCCATGGAGAAATCCCACCATGACTAGATAGATAGATAGATAGATAGATAGATAGATAGATAGATAGATAGATAGATAGACAGAGGCCATAAATCTTACTATCTCCATAAAAATCTAGATATAAGAAGTTACCAAAAATCAAAACCACAAGAAACAAAGAGAGATGCTTAACAGTTGTCTAAAAGAGAGGTGTTTTTTTTCTTCCTCCAGATGCAGCTTTTCCTATCAAAATTTCACAGTAGTAGGAAAAGCTGTATTTTCTAGTGGATTTTTTTTTCTTTCTATGATACTTTTAGACCCTGGACAGCAGCCCTAAATCCTAATCAACACTGATATTATGCAAAACCAATATGAGCTGTCAAGTTTCTACTGGTCTCTTACTGTTGTGCTTCTCTAACAACAGTTTGATCTACAGGCATTAGCATGTTATAAAGATTAGTCCTGTGCTGTGAAAAATTCAATTTACTAATTTCTGGAGAGCAAACTACAAAAGGTCCAAGGGCAGGTCTGCCTCTCTCCTCAGGCAGTTGAAAATCCTGTTCTAGAATTAGATAATATATGCTCCTTGTCATGGCTGCCACCTTTATTTTTCTCATCTTTTGCCTCAGTAGCAGACATAAATCCAAAAATGGAGGCCTTTCCCACAAAGGTGAGTCAAGTTCCTTTGGCATTTTATGCCAAGATATAACACAGCTGAGTGATTAAAAAAGAAAAAAGAAAAGAAAGAAAGCCAAGCCTATGTCACTTGAATTGCCAGGTTTTCTTCAGATCGTTGCTGACTGCACTCCCATGCTTTTTCACTCCTCCTCTTCTGTCTCATTTGCCAACAGAAGTTCTAATTCTGCATTATAGTGCATGGTGGAGAGAAAGTAGTCAAAGTGCAATCTATCTAGTGGAGCAGTAGGGAAGGAAATGCAGTAGGATTATTCTCGTGCCTCTGTGTGTTTGCCTCCCAGTTTTAATTCCCTTTTCCATTTGTGAATCCCAGCCTCACTATTCCGTCACATTATTTTTATTTTGCATCACAACTAAACTGTCCACAGCATTGTGCAATCTATCAAGGCGTACAATCCTGTTTATTGAATCCATGTTTGTGTGACATTTAGAACGAACAATCATCAGTCCTGTTACACCCATCTGTATGTTCCATAGATACTCTACTGTCCTTTCTTCAGATGAATAGGTCCAGGTCACATGAAATGAGAAGTGGCATCATATGACCTCTGTTTCAACTCTGGCCTTGTGTGTGATGACTTTGTGCAAAGACAAGACAGTCAAAAGAAGTGGCCTTGTGACCTAAAGGTGGCTGACTTGTTGTGTAAAACCAGAGGCTAGTTTTTCCCTTAAGATGCAGCTTTGACTAATAGATCTGAGTCAAGAACACAATGTGGGTGAGGTGAATAGCTTCTGCTGTGTCCTCTTTTGGATACTGAATGCAATCTACAATGCTAAGGCCTCACAGCTAAAGAATTGCTATAAATCCCTCCTTGCAGAGACTATTGGGCTGACCCAGTGTTGTTATCCACCACCTTTTAACTGTAATCTTCAAATTCCTGCTGCCTTAGTGGCTCTCCTATAAGTACTTTAAAAGGACATGGTTGCATTCTGACTCATTCACATACTTTTTCCATATGATAAGGGAGAAATTTGTTCGCAGACACAAGTCCAGCCCATTCTTTTTGAAAAGTTTCTTTGTGCTTTTGACATTTCCCCTTTAAATTGCAAAGAATCAGGACCTGCTATTATAGTTATTCATAATAATTACTGTCTGAGTGTGCAGTTATCACAACCACAAAGGAACCCTTATTTCAGAGGAGTCTTTCAGGTATTACTTTGATTCAAAGGACAACTTAAATCTACAAAATTGACTT